AGTCGGACAACGGGTCATGAAACACAGTGAGGCACAACTTAGGAGGCTGTGGAAGGACCGTTCGAGGTGGAACACGAGAGCGGAGAACAAGGTGAAACGGGCCGTCTGCACGGTAACCAGACTGATGAGGCTCTGGAGACACATCACGATTGAGGGGGAAACGACAAGTCCACGGGGACGAGGAAAGGGACTCGACAGGGGGAACAGGAAGGGACGGTAGGGGACCTCGTGTCAACGGGAGTTGTTGTTGGCCCCGTCCTCGCTTGGGCGGAGCCAACCTCGAGGTCGGGTGTGAGGAGTGCAGCCGACCTGCGTCAGTGGGCGAGCTGGTTGACGGGCCTGGTCGACCTGCACAAGGGCCACTGCAAGGGCGCCAACTTCAGCTGGTCGATCCGGGAAGTCGACCAATGGGGGGCATCGACTTGGGTGACGCCGACCAGGGGAAGTCGACAGGGTGTGGTCGGCTGACAGATGTACTGTTCGACCTGGAGTTGGTCGACCAGCTGGGTTGTTGACCTGGAGTTGGTTGACCATGGGAGTTTTCGACTTGGTGAGGGCGACATGTGGTGGTCGTCGACCTGGGCGGTTGACGGGCCTGGGATGACACACCTGGTCGACATGGTTGCCTGGTTGACCAGGTTACCCGGACGACGAGGTCTGCGAGGTTCGTGACTGTCGCCCAGGTAGATTGGCAATGTCGACCTGCGGTTTGGTGGCACGTGGTCAACAGGACTCCTCAAGTGCAACCGTCGACATGTGGTCGACTTGGCACCTCCGTAATGTGCGTGGTGGTGCATGTCATTACCGTCACCTTGCACCTGCAAAGTAGGTGCGCGCACATGAGCACGTGTGGTGACCTGTGGTGGCCTGTTGTTGGTGCGCTGGCACGCCAACCTTGCAAGTCGACTGAGGACGCCTGAAGATGCATGAGGTCGACTTGTATGCTAGGTTTCTGATGTAGTCGATCTTGCCAATCTAGTTGCTACCCTTTTTCTATTCTAAACCTTAGCTAGTGAAACTCTTGCGGTTTTGCCCTGTGAACGCACAAGTGCTAGAGAACGACTAAGGGAACGAACGCAGAGACTCCTCCTACTCCGTGCCTAGCCCATAGTCTAGCTCGCGTTGATAGAGTTATCTTCGCATGGTGCGGTAAGCGTGGAACGAACACAACTTACCCCTTCAGTCAGGTCGACGTAGTTGTCACTTACGTAATTCGTGTTCGTAGGCCGGCAGCCATGCGGTAGTCACTATGGTAGGCGTCGTAGTTCACACGGGGGTGGTGGACACCCTGGAGGCACGGCTGGAGAACGCGAGGAGACGTCACAAGGCGAACGAGTATGGCGACCTGCCTTGGGCGGTCGTCGAGGCTGGCATCCGTGCCGTGTGGGCAACAGAGCACCCTTCTCGGCCTGTCTCACCTCAACCGGTGAACACAGAGGGCGGCGTCGACGCGGGCGTCAACGCCGGTGGTGGTCAAGTCGGCAGTAGTGCGGGAGGCACGTCGAGGCAGCAAGGAGTGATTCACGCCGATGAAGTCGGCGGCGTTCAAGCGCGAGGAATGCGGTCGTCGGCGGCTGCAGGCTCCTCACAAGGCGATGTCGGAGGTCGACGAAGCAGTTTGTCGCCGATGGCGGCTACCCACGTGACAGCGGGCGGGATTGCACCGAGCTATGGCTACTTCAAGTTTACGCCGGATAGGATTGCGGTCACCCCCCTGCTTGTTGGTCGACCTGATATCCTCACCTGGAAGGAAGCCATCGAGCCCTAGCTGGAGATGGCCGAGCTGATCGGCTTCGCCAGGGGCATTGTGGCGACGCCGGAGGAACACTACCCATACTTGCGTGTGGAGTTTTGCGCCGTGCAGTTGCTGACCTTCACGGTCATCTCGCAGTGCTGCTCGCCGGGCGGGCAGATCGCCTTGAAGTCGTGCAGGGAGTACCTCGACACCGGCCACCAAGCATGGCACTTTATCGAGTCGACATATCAGGTCATCGACGCCCTGTACATCGGCCAGCTTGAGGAGCAGGTGTCGCACATACGGATGGGCGAAGAGGAGACGGCGACCGACTACTGCAACCGGGCTCGGCGAATTCTCGCCACCATGAGGATAGCCGGCGTGCACTACTCGACGGAGTTGTACCTCATGCACGTTATCAAAGGTCTCAGGAGCAGCTACAACCTGCTGAAACGACTGTCGTTGGCGCCGAGTACTAGGGCGACACTCAACATGGATTCTCTAACCTCGTACATCCTTCAGGATGAGGCGATGCAGGAAGCTGAGCGGCCCTCGGGGCTTCTTGTGTTAGAACATTATATAGCTTACATTGTGTAGGCTGTAGTGGGGTAGCCCATAAGGGGTACAACTCAATTAGCGTTAGTACTTGTACCCAACTCTTTGCTAGTTAATTCATTCCCGTTCGTTACTTTGACGTGGTTTCAAAGCAGGTCCCTTCTAGGACCGGTTTTTTTGGGCCCACCACCTGCTGCCCTGCTAGCCACCCTCGCGACCCGTAGGCCCCCTAGGCCCCGACCCGACGCCTCTAGCCTGGCCCCGACCCGTCGCCTCTAGCGTGGCCCCTTGGCCCCGTCGCCCCTAGCCACGGCCCCTTGGCCCTGTCGCCCCTAGCCGCGGCCCCTTGGCCCTGTCGCCCCTAGCCGTGACCCCTTGGCCCCGTCGCCCCGTCGCCCTAGCCACGGCCCCTAGCGACCCGTCACCCCGTTGCCCCGTCGCCCCTAGCCGCGACTCCTAGCCATGGCCCCTTGGCCCCGTCACCCCTAGCCGCGGCCCCTTGGCCCCGTCGACCCTAGCCGCGGCCCCCTCGCGACCCGTTGCCCTGTCGCCCCTAGCCGCGGGCCCGTTGCCCCGTCGCCCCTAGCCGCGGCCCCGTCGCCCCGTCGCCCTAGCCTCGGCCCCTAGCGACCCACGACCCGTCGTCCCTAGCCGTGGCCCCGTCGCCCCGTCGCCCTAGCCTCGGCCTCTAGCGACCCGCGACCCGTCGCCTCGTCCCCCCTCCCCCCCCCCCAGCCTCGGCCCATCGCGACCCGTCGCCCCTAGCCGCGGCCCAGTCTCCCCGTCGCCCTAGCCTCGGCCCCTAGCGACCCGTCGCCCTAGCCTTGCCCACCCCATTCGTGTTTGGCCCCTCGGCCCCTAGGCCCCTCGGCCCCGCCCCTCGAACCCTAGGCCCCAGGCCCCTAGGCCCCTTGGCCCCTCGGCCCCTAGGCCCCCCCCCCCCCTTCGTGTTTGGCCCTTCGGCCCCTAGGCCCCTCGGCCCCGCCCCTCGGCCCCTAGGCCCCAGGCCCTTCGGCCCCTTGGCCCCTCGGCCCCTAGGCCCCCCCTTCGTGTTTAACCCCTCGGCCCCTAGGCCCCTCGGCCCCGCCCCTCGGCCCTTCGGCCCCTAGGACCCAGGCCCCTAGGCCCCTTGGCCCCTCGGCCCCTAGACCCCCCCCCCCCCCCCCCTTTGTTCTTGGCCCCTCGGCCACTAGGCCCCTCGGCCCCGCCCCTCGGCCCCTTGGCCCCTAGGCCCCAGGCCCCTCGGCCCCTTGGCCCCTCAGCCCCTAGGCCCCCCCTTCGTGTTTGGCCCCTCAGCCCCGCCCTTTGGCCCCTCGGCCCCTAGGCCCCAGGCCCCTCGGCCCCTTGGCTTCTCTGTCCCTCCTGCTACTGCGACAGCTGCTACTACTGCTACTTCTGCTACTGCTGCTACTGCTACTACTGCTACTACTACTGCTGCTACTGCTGTTGCTACTGCTGCTCTTGTGTGCTGCACAGCTATGGCTTCACTTAGGGTTCTCGCGTTCGATCATGAGGGCAGACCGGTTCAATTTGACACGTGGCTCGACGACCTGCAGCTGTACCTACTGAGCGATTCTAAGGACAGTGTTTCGCTGTTTGACCTTGCGTCAGGCGCCGCTCCTGCCCCTCCCGCCACAGCTGACAGTGCGACTCGCTCCCAGTGGCTTACTCGCGACGCTGCTGCCCGCTTGGCCATTCGCAACCACCTACCGTTAGCCGAATGTGCCCACTTTGGACAGCACAGGACAGCACAGGCACTGTACGACACTATAGTCGCTCACTACTCCTCGCCTGCCACTGCTGCTCTAGGCCCCCTGCTTCTGCCCTACCTGTTCTCCGAGCTGTCAGCCTTTACCACGGTAGAGGACCTTGTTTCCCACCTGCACACTAGTGACGCTCGCTACAGCGCTACCGTCCCTGCTGAGTTCCTTGCCAGGAACCAGCCCCCGATGTTCATCACCCTCTACTTCATAGTCACTCGCCTCCCTGACTCTCTTCGCTCTGTCAGGGACTAGTTTCTCTCACTTGACCCCACCTCCCTGTCAGAACATTATAGCTTTTACATTTGTGTAGGCTATAGTGGGGTAGCCCATAAGGGGTACAACCCAATTAGGGTTAGTACTGTCGCGATATATATTTATATATGTTTATAACTGCCTGTAGCTTTAGCTTTAGTGTAGTTATGTTTCTTTGTTGTGGTGGTGCACCTCTTTGTTTCTTTGCTATATGTTCTTGCAAACCTATAGTGAAGAAACACATTCTCGATTCTCTCTTGGCACAACTCCCTCGACACCCGCTTGGCCTAGGCTACTAAGGCTAGGCCCTTAGTTAAACCCGTTCCTAGCTAAGTTCGTCTCGTGACATGGTATCAGAGCGGTCCGTCCTAGGACCTATTTCGTTTATGGGCCCACCACATTTCGCGACTGCTACAGTTACAGTTCCTAACTTAAGTTAATGGGCCCACCTATTCGTGGCACAGCGCTCGCTGCGACGGGCGCGGCGGCGAGCCGGCCGCGTTTCCCTCGTTGCCAGCCCGTCGTTTTTTCCCTCGTCGCCTGCCCGTCGCCATCCCGTCGCGTTTTCCCCCCGTCGCCAGCCCGTCGCGTTTCCCCCATCGCCAGCTCATCGCGTTTCCCACGTCGCCAGCGCGTCGCGTTTCCCCCGTCGTCAGCCCGTCGCATTTCCCCACCCTCACCACCTCTGCCCGCGCCTACGCCTGCTGCCGAGTTTGCGCGAGAGTGGGGAAGGGGGGGGGACGGCATCGGGAATGAAGGGGACGGCGACGGTGGCGGTCGTCGCGGCCCTTTCCCCCCCGTCCCGTTTTCTTCCTTCCCTTCGCCTCGCTCCGCCCGTCGCATTCCCCCGGCCCCCTGCTCGTCACCCCCCCCCTCCCCCGTCGCGACTGTTCGCGTGTGCAGCTGCGGTCGCTGTGGGTGGGAGAGGGAGGAGGGGAAGGGATTGGCGGCGGAACGCTGCAGGTGGGAGAGGGAAAGGGGGAAGGGAGTGGCAGCGGAATGCTGTGGGGGAGAGAGGACAAGGGGGAAGGGAGTGGTGGCGGAACAGCACCAGCGCCAGCCGCCAGCACCAGGAACCAGCACCAGCGCCAGCCGCCAGCACCAGGAACCAGCCCCAGCGCCAGCCGCCAGCACCAGGAACCAGCCCCAGCGCCAGCCGCCAGCACCAGGAACCAGCCCCAGCGCCAGCCGCCAGCACCAGGAACCAGCCCCAGCGCCAGCCGCCAGCACCAGGAACCAGCCCCAGCGCCAGTCGCCAGCACCAGGAACCAGCCCCAGCGCCGGCCGCCAGCACCAGGAACCAGCCCCAGTGCCAGCCGCCAGCACCAGGAACCAGCACCAGCGCCAGCCGCCAGCACCAGGAACCAGCCCCAGCGCCAGCCGCCAGCATCAGGAACCAGCCCCAGTGCCAGCTGCCAGCACCAGGAACCAGCACCAGCGCCAGCCGCCAGCACCAGCACCAGCAACCCCACCTGTGACCAGCAGCCCCACCTGTGACCAGCAGCCCCACCTGTGACCAGCAGCCCCACCTATGACCAGCAGCCCCACCTGTGACCAGCAGCCCCACCTGTGACCAGCAGCCCCACCTGTGACCAGCAGCCCCACCTGTGACCAGCAGCCCTACCTGTGACCAGCAGCCCCACCTGTGACCAGCAGCCCCACCTGTGACCAGCAGCCCCACCTGTGACCAGCAGCCCCACCTGTGACCAGCAGCCCCACCTGTGACCAGCAGCCCCACCTGTGCCCAGCAGCCCACCTGTGAAAGACTGTACAGGGACCATCGTGGGTTGGGAGAGGTATGGAGGAAGACAGGGGTGGAGGGAGTGCGGTTCCAGGGGGCGACTGAAATGGGGGGTGAGGTTGAGGGCGGGTGGTTGGTTGGGGGTGGGGATGTGGGGGTTAGTAAGAGGGGACGCTGCGGCCACCCCCCCACCTCTTCTCCTCATCCCCCACTCAACCCCCCCTTTCGTAAAAGGGGGTTAGTAAGAGGGGACGCTGCGGCCACCCCCCACCTCCTCTCCTCATCCCCCACTCACCTCCTCCTGTGTTCTTATCTATTCTCCTCTCCTCTCTTCCTCTTGCCTCCTCCTCCTCACGTACCCCTCTGCCGTCTCCCACCGCACCTGCCCCTTTAGGGGGTGTGACTTGCTCTAGCTATGTGCTGCAGGCAGTTAAGGGGGTGTGTCGCGATATATATTTATATATGTTTATAACTGCCTGTAGCTTTAGCTTTAGTGTAGTTATGTTTCTTTGTTGTGGTGGTGCACCTCTTTGTTTCTTTGCTATATGTTCTTGCAAACCTATAGTGAAGAAACACATTCTCGATTCTCTCTTGGCACAACTCCCTCGACACCCGCTTGGCCTAGGCTACTAAGCCTAGGCCCTTAGTTAAACCCGTTCCTAGCTAAGTTCGTCTCGTGACAAGTACTTGTACCCAACTCTTTGCTAGTTCATCCATTCTCGTTCGTTACTTTGACATGGAATCAAAGTAGGTTCCTTGGGCCCATCTCCTGCTACGCTCCTAGTACCCCCGTAGGCCCGTCGCCCCTAGGCCCGTCGACCGTAGCCTACGCGCCCGGCCCGTCGACCCTAGCCTAGGGGCGCCCGGCCCGTCCACCCTAGCCTACGCACCCGGCCCGTCGCCCCTAGTCTACGCGCCCGACCCGTCGCTCCTAGCCTACGCTGCCCGATGACCCCTAGGACGCGGCCCGTCGACCCCTAGCCCAGCGCTTGGCCCCGTCCCTAACCCGCGCCCGGCCCCGTCGGCCCCTAGCCCCGCGCCCGGCCCTGTTCCTAGCCCGCGCCCGGCCTCGTCGGCCCCTAGCCCCGCGCCCGGCCCCGTCCCTAGCCCAGCGACCGGCCCCGTCCCTAGCCCGCGCCCGGCCCCTTGTCGGCCCCTAGCCCCGCGCCCGGCCACATCCCTAGCCCACACCCGCCCCCCTGTCGGCCCCTAGCCCCACGCCCGGCCCCGTCCCTAGCCCGCACCCAGCCGCCTGTCGACCCTTAGCCCCGCGCCCGGCCCCGTCTGCCCCTAGCCCCGCGCCCGGCCTCGTCTCTAGCCCGCGCACCCGGCCCAGTCGACCCCTACCCCCTCGGCCTCTTAGCCCCACTATCACTGCTGCTACTACTATGGCTGCTACTTCTACTGCTACAGTTGCTACTGCTATCCTGCGTGCTGCACAGCTATGGTTTCGCTTCGGGTTCTCGCGTTTGATCATGAGGGCAGACCGGTTCAGTTTGACACGTGGTTAGATGACGTGCAGCTGTACCTACTGAGCGATTCTAAGGACAGTGTCTCGCTGTTTGACCAAGCGTCAGGCGCTGCTACTGCCCCTCCCGCCACAGCTGCTAGTTCAACTCGCTCACAGTGGCTTACTCACAACGCTGCTGCCTGCTTAGCCATTCGCAACCACCTGCCATTAGCTGAACGCGCTCACATCGGACAGCACAGGACACCGCAGGCGCTGTACGACGCTGTAGTCGCTCGCTACTCCTCCCCTGCCTCTGCTGCTCTAGGCTGCCTCCTTCTGCCCTACCTGTTCCCCGAGCTGTCCGCCTTTGTCACAGTCGAGGACCTGGTTTCCCACCTTCGCGCTTGTGACGCTCGCTACTGCGCTGCCGTTCCTGCTAAGTTCCTTGACAGGAACCCGCCCGTGATGTACATCACTCTCTACTTTATAGTCACCCGCCTCCCTAACTCTCTTTGCTCTGTCAGGGACCACTTCCTCTCTCTTGACCCCACCTCCCTCACTGTTGACCTCCTTGAGCAGCATCTCCTCGCAGCTGAGACTAGTGCAGTTGCTGTAGGTGCTTCTCGTGGCACTCCGCGCCCGCCCTTCTTTGAAGGGTGTTCCCCCTCCCCCCTTGCCCCCTCCTACGCCTCTGCTGCTGCTGCAGACGTCTCTGTTCCTGAGGACGTCGGGGCTGCTCCTGCTAGTGCGAAGCGCCGCAGCAGCAAGGGCAAGGGTGGACGGGGTGGTGGAGGTGGCAGCAGCGGAGGTGGAGGTGGCAGCGGGAGTGGTGGCGGGGGCAGCAGTGGAGGTGGTGGCGCAAGTGGGACTGTTGGCGGGAGTGGGGGCTCTGGTGGCGGTGGTGGAGGCAGCGGTGGGAGTGGCGGCAATGGAGGTGGTGGGACTGGTGGCGGTGGGACTGGCGCTTGGCGTGTAGGTTCTGGGGGTGGCCAAGGTCAGCAGCAGCAGCGTCAGAGCGAGACCCCGTCTCCCTAGCAGCTTCGTGAGTGGTTTCTGCGTGGGGCGTCTAGGGGTAGTTGCCCGTATGTCATTCGCAAGGGTAACCGTGCTGGTCAGACTTGCGGGGGGCTCCACACTCAGCACCGCTGCTTCTCCCGCCTCGACGACGCTTGGCGTGCAGAGTTTGGTGACGACGTCGAGCTCCCTCGCTGGGCAGATCTGCTTAAGTCTAGGATTGCTATCTTTGACCTAGACTTTGATGCTATTCTTTCTACTATGTATGCTTTGTCTGCTAGTTTTGAGGGTGACTGTTACCGGTGTGTGCCGCCTGACCCAGGTATAGCCGCTGCTGCTCTGGTGCTAGTGAGTCTGGTACTCTCCCTGGTACTGCGCCTGCTGAGGCCTTGCACACCTTCACGTTGGACTCAGGCGCATCGCGCTGTTTCTTTCGTGACAGCACCACCCTCACTCCTCTTCTTGCACCTTTCCTGGTGCGACTGGCTGACCTCTCCGGGGGACCGGTCGTGTCCCGTTCCTCCACTGTCCTCCCGTGTCCGGCGGTTCCGTCCGGCTCACTGTCAGGTCTTCACCTCCCCTCGTTCTCTACGAACTTGGTGAGTACCGCTGCCCTCCAGGATGCGATGGTCACTACCACCACTCCTGGGTGTCAGCGTATGTCGATCTGCACGTGCACATGGACGGGCCGTCACCTGGCCACGTTGACTTGCCGCCAGGGTTGAGTCCGTACACCCTCGCTACCGAGCCTTCTCAGGTAGCAGCGTCTGCTCAGGTGTCCGTGTCAGGTCAGGTAGTCGCCTCTTGCTCGTGTCGCCTCCTGTCGCACCAAACTCTTCTGTGGCACCACTGCCTGGGTCACCCCTCTTCTGTGCCACTGCACTCTCGTCTTCTAGTCTCTGGTCTCCCCAGGTCTCTGCCTCCCCTGCCGCCCTCGCCTGCCCCGCCCTGCCTCCCTTGCGTCGCGGGGCGGCAGCGCGCCGCTCCTCACTCCTCGTTTCCCCCGACGACTGCTCCCCTGCAGACTCTTCACATGGACGTGTGGGGCCCAGCCCGCTTCAGTGGACAGAGCTGCGAGTGCTACTTTTTGCTGGTCGTTGACGAATACATGCGGTACACCACGGTGTTTCCCTTGCGCTGAAAGGGTCAGGTCGTTGATGTCTTAATCCCTTGGATCCGCACAGTCCGTCTCTAGCTTCGCCAGCGGTTTGGCCAGGACCTTCCTGTCCTGCGTCTACACTCTGACAGAGGTGGTGAGTTCTCCTCCAGCCTCTTGCGGGACTTTTGTCGTGGGGAGGGCATACTCCAGTTGTTCACGCTTCCGGACTCCCCTCAGCAAAATAAGATTGCAGAGTGCCGCATCGGCTTAGTCATGGAGGTTGCTCGTACCTCCACGATCCATGCGGCTCCTCCCCATTTTCTGTGGCCGTTTGCGGTCCGGAATGCTGCACATCAGCTCAACCTCTGGCCCCGTGTCTCCTTGCCGGAGACCTCGCTCACACTGCGTTGGACGGGGGAGGTTGGCGATGCGTCGGTGTTCCGGGTCTGGGGATCTCGTGCCTTTGTTCGCGATCCGTCCGCGGACAAGCTCTCCCCCCGTGCTATCCCCTGCGCCTTCCTTGGCTTTGCCCCTGTCGCTCTTGGCTGGCAGTTATACCACCCCACCTCGCGCCGTGTCCTCCCGTCTCAGGACGTCACGTCCGACGAGTCGGTTCCCTTCTACCGTCTCTTCCCCTACCGCTGTGCCCCTCCCCCGCCCCCGCCGCTCTTCCTTGCTCCCGGTCCCCCTCTGGTAGACCCCCTCCCGCCCCAGGGTCCTTTTCCCTCAGGTGTCTCTCAGGTAGACCCACCCCCTGGTGCTGTGCCTCGTGAGGTAGCTGTGGACTCAGGTGCTGCTAGAGGTACTGCGTTTGGGGTTGCTGAGATTGGGGATGCTGGGCCTGGGGGTGTTGAGCCTGGGGGTGCTGAGACTGGGGATGCTGAGCCTGGGGGTGTTGAGACTTGGGGTGTTGAGCCTGGGGGTGCTTGGTTGGAGGGTGCGGAGTATGGAGGTGCTGAGCCTCAAGGTGCTGCTTCATCTGGAGGTTCTGCTGGTGCTTCGCCAAGACTGTCTCCGCAGCAGCTATGTGAGTGGTTTGTTCGGCGCGCACGCCTTTGGAGTGGAGCTAATGGAGCTGGAGGTGCTTGAGCTGGAGGTGCTGGCGTTGCAGCTAGAGCTGGTGTTACGGGAGGTACTGCGGCTACTGGTCCTGGAGGTGCTCGTACCCGGGGTACTGGAGCTGCCGGGACCGGTGGTGTTGGGGGTGCTGGAGCTGGAGACCCTACGGAGTCTGGAGCTGCTGGTGCTAGCAGCTCTGGCGCTGGTGGCGCTAGAGCTGGAGGAGCTGGAGTTGGAGGCACTGGCGCAGGAGGCGCTTGAGTTTTGTCCCTGACGCTCTTGGCTGGCAGTTTTACCACTCCACCTCGCGCCGTGTCCTCCTGTCTCATGACGTCACGTTCGACGAGTCGGTTCCCTTCTACCGTCTCTTCCCCTACTGCTCTGCCCCTCCCCCGCCCCCGCCGCTCTTCCTTGCTCC